TAGGCCTTTCTAGATGTTATTTGAGAAAAATAACCTTCATGACTTTCCCTCCTTCTCTATTTGTTGTGGTTTTCTGGTTTTGTTTTTGTTTTTTGAGCCTGTTCTTATAATTTCTTTTAAAAACACGGAAAGGTGTAAGTAATCTCAGAAAAGGGAATAATGTTGACACTGGGGGATGGTTTTTCAATATCTCCTCTAATACCACCAATCATCTGTTCTCACCCTTCCGGGCTGAGAAACTGTGAAGGATTTGTCAGCATCCAGGACAAAGAAGGTGTGTTCTGTTTATGGCTTTATGTGGTTAATGCTTATTTTGTGGTGGGTTCTCATCTTCCTTTTCTACCAGTTTGTCTGGGATGTTTGCCTGACGTAGAGCACCTGTAGGAACCACCAGGCTGACCACCCTCACTCCATGCTTTCTGTCTGCCATGGCACTGGTTGGTGTAGGATCAATCAGAGACTTGGCATTTGCCTCAAAAAATACTAAGGCTAATTAGTCTACTGCCCAGACCACATATTTTAGCCCAGTTAACCAGAGTTCAGATTAGACTACAGCCCAGCCCTGCTTGAGTGCTGTAATGCATTTGTGTTTCTGTGTTATTATTCTCTGGTAAGCATCTCCCTTGAGAGCCTCTTGAAGAGAAGTCTCTGTAGGATTTGTTTATTCCTAGGTTTTTGGTCCTAATACCATTTAGTCAAATACAAATTCACCACAAGTTCTCATAAACATTATGTGTAAGGGCTTCTAAAATCAAAGAGCTTCATGCATTAAAAAAAATACTGGATGAAGGCTAATATGAATGGAATTTAGAGTAAGGAAAGAAATGGCTGACAATGAGGCTTAAAGGGTCACGTGGGCCCAGAATATGCAGAACCTCTCTTTTACACTACGTGGAATATTTGTAATTCTATCCTGAGAGCAAGGGGAAGGCTTCTGAGGGTTTTAAACAAGGGAACAAAATTATTAACCTTTTAAAAAATTTTTTAATGAAAAAGAATACTCTTAACTTTGTATTGCTTGTTTGATAGCTAGCTTGTGGTTACTTATAATTCTGCTGTATTTCTGATTATTTTATTCATATTCTTTTACCTTTTGATTTTACTTTTATTTTATTTACAGATTAAAGATTCAAAATGGTATGACAGAGGCCATCATTACTGTTGGTTTTGCCCATTTCTATTTTTTTTGTCTCATACATATTGATGTCATTTATTTGGCACCTAAAAGTTTCATGAAAAACGTATCTTTCTTGTAAAGAGAAATTCTGATTAAAATGCCAAATGCACACAAATCACAGCAAAATGAATGCTTAACCATAATTAAAATGATTTTGCAAGGTTTATGAAATGAATTGCTTTTTGTCTGGATCTACAATATACAAAGCAAAACTTAAAAGTCCCCATGAAAAACTCACTGGAATTGGAAGAATGTGAAAGAAAAATACTACAATTTTATAATCACTTTAGAAGCTTACCTAGCTCTCCAGCTCATTGTCAGTCTCTGTTAGCTGGTCCCCCAGGGATCAATAAAAGCTGTTCTGGTTGGAAAACCCTAACTACTAGTGCAGAAAAGAATTGTATTGGGTTTATTTAGTCATGTCATGAAGCCTGCAGGAAGGCACTAAAAATCTCTGATACTCTCCAGAAAAGCAGAAGCTTATGACATGGGAACTAATGTCCTAAAAAGGCTTTAGTCCTTGAGGGGAAAAAAAACAGTTCAACTACTTTCTAGTGTAGGGAAAGAGAAGATGTGCATCCATGGAATATGGCAGATATCCGATGGAATTAAAAGAATTCTTGGGGGAGTAAAAAGTCAAATAACTCACTGAAAACAAATGGACAAGGGATCTGAGTAGACATTTCTCAAAGGAGTATATACACATGGGCATTTAGCACATGGAGCACGTGGGAAGAAGTTAAACACTATGAGTCATCAGGGAAATGCAAATCAAAACCAGAATGAGGTGCCACCGCATGCCACACTAACATGGCTAAAATTTAAAAGGCAGATAAAGACAAAGAGGACAGAGTGGCGGAATGCTGGGACCCTCACGCACTGCGAGGGAGGAGGCAGAAGGGTGCAGCTGTTCTGGCAGCTGCTCAGAACACTCTGGTAGTAGCTCAGGATGAAACTTGCTACTTCACACACAGAAGTTTCACTCCTAGCTATGTACCCAGATTATAAATGTGTGTTTTCTCCAGTAGCTACCCAAACTGGTGGCAAAGTGCTGATGCAGAGGTGTCAAGGACAGTTCTGCTTCACGGGACCATCCCAAGACTAAGAAGTCCTCTATCTTGCTGCCTTGTGTTTTAAGGCGTTTTTGTTCTGGGCCAAAGTTATTTCACATCAGTGTATTTGCTTCCCAGGTTTTAGAAAGAAAAAGAGGAGTCTGGAACAGTGACAGTTCCTTTAAGGAAGCGGCCCTCATTATTTCTATTCATATTCCATGGGTGAAAACCATCATGTGGACACCTCTAGCTGCAATGAAAGCTGGGCAGCCATGTTCCCTGGTAAAACCCAGTGAGTTTCCATGGCTCGAGCGGAGGATGGAAAATGCGGGAGAAAGGCAGATCCCACTCGGTGTCAGGGCCAGAGCTCTGAGACGACCTCATCTGAAGCCCATGGTGATCTACTGGTTGAATGCTTAGTGTTCTCTTACATTTTACAGAGGCTGGAATTAAAGCTGGGAAGAAGAAAGTAAGCTTAGATTTATATCTATTATAACCGAAGCCAAGAGATAATTTCTAAGAGAGAGAGGTAAAGAAATAGAATAAACATCAGAAGAAGCACATGCCAGAAGCAACGGCTTTCAAAGCTAAAAACGCCCCTCGGGAACAGCACTTGAGGTTTGGGGAGGGTGTGAGGGAGACTGCTGATTTTCGCTGTTAATAGTTTGGTTTAAGAAATAGACTCACAGACACAGAATACAAACTTGTGCTTGCCAAGGGGGTGGGGGGTGGGAAGAGATAGACTGGGATTTCAGAATTGTAGAATAGATAAACAAGATTATACTGTATAGCGCAGGGAAATATATACAAGATCTTATGGTAGCTCACAGAGAAAAAAATGTGACAATGAATATATGTATGTTCATGTATAACTGAAAAACTGTGCTCTACACTGGAATTTGACACAACATTGTAAAATGATTACAAATCAATAAAAAATGTTAAAGAAAGTTTGGTTTAAACCAATTTGTTAAAATATATGCATATATGACTTTGATAAGAGTTGAGTATGTAAATTTTATATATATATATATAAAATCATATATATAAACCACCAGCCATAATTTAGGCAGATTGCTTCCACTTATCTCTAATGGCCCCTGATAATACCAATTCTATCTCCAAATGCTCACTAGGGAATGTTAAATTTCAAGTAATGATGCCTTTTTGAATACAGATATATCAAAAAATTCACCCCATCACAGAGCTCAGTCCTCACCACATCCACATCAGAAAATCACCACGTATTTGAGTGGTTAGATGGAGAAACCACAGCTGTTACGCTTCATTTGGTTGAACATTTGCTAACCCCTCCAATTCTGAGGAGTCATGACCTTCACCAGTTCTATTCAACTTGGCTAAGCAGGGCAGTGGAGGAATCTAGAGGCCGCAATGCCCTTACAGGTGACGGTACACTTAGTCAAAATATGAAGCTTATATATCACATCTTTGATAACTGCATGGTCATTCAGCATCTTCCCAAACCTTTCATGTGATGGGAGCTCACCACCTCCCGAGCCATTCATCCCCACACTCCATCTGTATCACCCCTCTTCTTGAACCATCCTCTATTCTTTACAGAGCAGTGTAAATTTTTAAAATTAAAAATTTGATTTTGGAACACTTCGACTTTCAGCTGTTTCCCATTATCTTTAGGATGAAGTCCAAGCGCCTTACATCTTTACTCCTCTCTGAACTTCTCCACATGCTGTTCTGTTTCCCCTTCCTGCACTTAGATCAATCATCTTTAGTTGTTAACTTGATGCACTTCCTTTGGGAATCCTTCTCATCTGACTAGACTGGGTGAGACAGTCTGTTATATGTGTTCTAGTAACATCCTTGTACTTTCTCTAAGTGGTCCTCATCAAACTACGATGTTATCATCTGTTTGTTCCTCCAGCTGAATAGCCAACTGCATGAGGGAAGAGAATCACAGTAGGCAGGTTCATGGCTGCATCTTCAGTTCCCTGCACTGTGACTGGCTCTTGGAAGATTCTTAATGAATTCTTTTGTCCCCACTCAAATTGCTAGAAATATTTTCTCTATATTTAACAAAAATCTGTTTCCCTCTGAGGCTACACAGAGTAATCCCTATTCAAAAAGGGTCCTTCACATATTTTAAAAGCATGATTATTCTCTATCTTTAAATCATCTACATTCTTTGCTAAATATTAATACCTTTAGGCTGTTTCACAATAGGTTTATCTGAGTTTGAGGGAATGCAATAATACAATTTTGCCCACAAGACTTTGGGTAAATTAAAAGACACAAAAGTCACCTGGATGGAAATTTATCAAAGATGCAAGCTAAATGTAAGTGTGTAGTTTAAGTGTGAACACAATGGTTTTGCTACCACTTATGTCTGGTTCCTGTAAACCTGGGTATTGGAACAGTACAATCACAGATAACCTGATTTTGTAGAGCAGGTGCACATGCCCTTAACTACTGTCTTGAAATGCCCCAGGCTGGAGGGGTAACAGTGGCTTTCAGCACTTACACATGTATAGAGGATCAGCCCCACCACCGATCGTGAATTAATGATTGTGACCCACTAGGCAAGTAGGTCATGGGGTAAGAAAACAGGAATGTCACTATATTACAAGCCTCTCCATATAGAAATATGAAGCAAGAGGAAAGGCATTTCTCCTCTAAAAGTGTAGTTAAACCAGGCTCTGCAATTCTATTTCATGTCATTAATTTGTGTAACTTTAATGGAAGAATTTCTATTTTATTAGTCAAATTTTACTATTTATTTCAGACCATAATTCCAGACTGTCGAATTTGCTGTTTATTGAAGCTCCACTGAATTGATTTACCACTCTCTCCAGCTTTGCATAAACTAAGACTTTGAGAAGTAGTTCTGTTTTCATCAAAGTCATGGGCTGTACTCTTTGACAGAATACATGATACAGAATCCTGACACAGGCCACCAGAGACCTCTGACCACCCTGAAATCCCAGAGAAGGATGCTGCACCTGGGTGTGCCACTACAGGGCCACTGCTCCCACAGCCGTGACACACCCTCGTGCTGCTTCATATGGCAGCCAAAGGCAGGAGCCACGTGCTGTTGTTTGAGGGCAAAAAAGCCAACAAACGTTTCCATGCCCTATCACTTCTTGGCCTTATCTGTAGATCAATTTACTTGACTTTACTTCCAATTAATAGGCTGTTTACAGGTAGAGACATCCTCTTAGATGCAGGACTATGCAGGAAACAAAGCCCCACTTAACACTCCTCACTTTCTTATTACATATCATTTCCTATAACCACAGTACTCTTTTATTCTTTTAAGAAAGTCTCCACTTAGCACTTTATGGTTATGGGTATATTACATTCTGAAGAGCCAAATCAGTCTATTTCCTCTTCTTCTTACAGATTTGTTAGTGAGGCAAGGAAATTATCACATGATTTACTCAAGGACCATTGCACTTCACACATCTCCAGAGTGAGAGTGTGTCATTACAGCTGTGTCATCTGCAGTTTCCACATTATTGTTACTGAAAAAATTCCCAAACCTCTGTTTTTGAAAAACAAAATGAAATATTCTTACCAAAATTTGCCATTTAATACCAGGAATTTGGTGGGCACTTTTAAAACAGCATTATGTTTTAGTAAAATGAATCTACATGAGCAGGAGCTCCTATTAGTTGTACTTTTATAAATAACATTCAGCTTTCTATTTTC